AGGAGAATATACCTTACTTCCTCAAATCCAAGATCAGGGTCCTCCCCTCCCCCCCCCCCCCCCCCCCCCCACACACATTCAACATGGTAGGGGAAAAAAACCCTCATCTTGGATTTGAGTATGGATGGGAGCAAGAGTGACAGGAGGAAGCCCCAGCCCTGGCTCAGGCTTGGGAGGCTTTGGGTTAGTCAGAGCTGCAGCTGCTACCTCTGTTGCCTTGTGCCTCTTTCACCCTGCACCCTCAGCTACATTTGCCCCCAGCCCTTTTCACCAGCTTACCCTTGTTGCAGCTCCAGCCCAGCAGTGGTACTGGCACTAGTGGTGGGGGAAGCAGCTCTAACTCAGCTCTGGGTCCAACTATGACCGGTTCTGGGGCCAGGGCTACCGAAACCACTTCTCCTTCACCATGTAGGTGTTGGAACCAGAGCCATAGCCCAGGAGGGTAAGCTGTGATGGGGAAGGGGCAGGCAGCAAGGGGGTACCAAGTGAGGTGGGGCACAGGCATGGGGAGGAGGAGTGCAGGCTCCAGGGAGCACCAGCACCATGGTGGGGGTGTGGGGGGGGGTAGGCATGGCAGATGGCATTAGCCCTATGGGGGGAACTGGGGGACATAGGTGGCAGAGGGGACAGGAAGCAAGGGGCAAGAAGTAGCAGGGCAAGGTGTAGGGGTCAGACTGCCAACCCCCTTGCTGCTCTTTGCTTCCCTGCTGCTGTTTTCTCAGGCGTACTTGTGGGTGTGTGTGTTTGTTTGTGTGTGTGTGCGTGTGTGTATAGGGGGATGAATTTAAAGCAATCCTCCAATAATTAGATAATATACATGGAAAATTATAATAAATTCAAAGTTGTCTTGGATTTGGGTAAATATTGCAGAAGTTATTTAACCACCCAAAAAGGGGTTTATTTGGAAAAGGCTTCTAGAATTCACTTCTTAGGGTATCTGATAGATGTAAAAGATCTAACTTTCATCCTGTGTCTAAGAGTTCTTCATTGAGTGAAGGTGCTCACATTTATCAGTCTGATTTCAGGGCATGTGAAGTCATCATAGAATCAGGCAGAGATAAAAGTCAGTTAAAAATAATTGGAAATATTTTTATGAGCTTTGGGTGGACTGCAGGGCCAGCGCATCTAAGTTCTGCTCCATACAATAAAATGGACCCTGCCATAGAAATATAAACTTTTAGTGCCGCCAGAACCACTCTGCTGCCCTTCTTATTATAGAAGGATAAAACTCTACCCAAGGTTTGGTTTGCTTTAGTGTTTACATTTTCAATGTGCTTATTCCAGCTTAGATATTTTTCTAAAATAGATTCCAAGGTATTTAAAAAAGGACACCACCTCTACTTTCCTTATAAAAACTGAACTCCTTTCCTCCTTCCATTCCCAAGAAAAAATACTTTGTGTTTATTTTCAAGCTATTTGAGGTGTACAATACTGTTGTAAAAAAATATCTAATAATCTCTGGAGGTCTGAGATTTTTTTTTGGATATTTTAATACATCATCTGCATAAATCAAACACCGGCAAGTCATTCAGTATCATGGGTGTGAGGAACTGATTCCTTGTTAGCACCTGTTTTAGATCAGGTCTCAGTTTCTTGTTAGCTCTCAATTCATACTGGTGGAGGAATTCTGGGTTCACTTACAAGGAGGAGGTGGATATTAGGGGCTGAATTTGGCCTGGACTACACCTGCAAATTGTTCCTAGAATCTTCTCAGGGATACAAGTAGCATGACTGTCCAGTGCCATGATCAGAAGATGTGGTTGCAGTGATTTTTGCCTGTTCACTAGTTTTTGCTGCCCTATAATAATTATTATATTACTCTGAAAGGACAACAACTAAGGAAGGACTCTAATCCGGATTCTTCTATTTATTTGTTTTTTCAGTATAGATTCTCTTTCTATATTCTAGGAATAATTTACCATTCAACTCTTGCATTAAGAAGTCAATTATCATCAAACAGTAAATGAAAAGGAAGATAGATGCCTGAAATAAAGAAGACGTGTCTAGAAGGGGAGAAAATCAGTGACCTAGCACTATGCTGAAATCTGCAGTGTGCTTCTGTTAATGCCAGCTGACTGCACTTCATCTGCAGAAATATTCTTTCCCTGTTACATTATGTCAGTATTCAATTAAACACACATTTACTTTACATTACATTGGAAATGTACATTAGCATTCTACTGTACTACAGAATGGGGCCCTATGTACAGCCATAATGGTTCCCATGTTTTATCTTGTTCTCACACAGTTATCTCTTGGAGAATTCCTTTTTTTCTTGTAATTCACTTCTTTGCATTATATGAATTTACCTTCCTACTTCCTATATGCAAATTCCATTTATAAACATGCTTTTTTTCATGGACTCTATGCATTTACACCTACTCTGGTCTGTCATTCAGTAGATCATCTCTCTGTCTCTCTCTCTCTTGCTTTCTAATTTAGAATTTAAACCCACAGGGTGTCTCCAGATGAGCAGACAAGGCATTTTGGGTAAATTTGATATCTTTTATTAGACCAACTAAAATAGTTGGAAAAATACTTCTTTGCAGGCTTTCAGGTACAAATACCCTTCATGTAGTTTCCAGTGCTGCAGAAATGTCTGTGTGTTCATTGCACTGCTAATTTGCAGCGTGGTGGGTTTTTTATGACAATGGAGATCCTGGTGTCAGAAAAAGACTGTGGAAGAAAAAATGGGGCAGTGCACATTGTGGCAGTATATACCATCTGAAACTGGGGCCTGGTCTTCCAGAGCTATGCTCTGGCTGCTGGACAGACTCTGACTGCCTGGATCACCACTGCTGGAGCCCCAGCAGGCCCTCAGGACTGCAGGTGCTGGCTTCATCCTCTCCTACCCCACCCAGGGTAATGTGCTGCATGCCAAAGCATGTGTGCAGGGGCATTCCCTGGAGACAAGTAGCTATGGCACAACTATGTGCCACTACTATTTGTCCTCATGGAAATGCACATGCACACTCATCTGGATGTGTCCACAGGGGCCAAAGTGTTTGTTTTTTCTTTTTCTAAATCTCAAAGTACTTTATGATTATTCAAATACTATTTTACATATTATTAAAAAACGTGATCACAAACTATTATATATATATATATACATATATATATATACATATATATATTAGTGGTCTTTATTTAAGGTAGGGGTTCTAGTTACCGGCATAAGGCAGCAAACAATTTTGTGGCCATTAAAGACTATTCCTGTAGTTATCTGTATAGCGAGTTTCTACTTCTTAAATGTTGGCTTTCTAGTCTCATCCTGAACAGCTAATCTGTTAATATTATTATCTTTCCTTTTGTAAACATGAAGGGCAGGAAAGAATGGTAGCACTCTAGTACATTTGAATTGTACTTAATGATGGAAATGATATTGATTAAATGCAAAAATGAATATAATGACCAGCATTTCCTTTATTATATAAGTTAAGGTGCAGTGTTAAATGTATATTCTTGGGAACAGGAGAAATCTATCTTTGCATCACATACACCATTTGCAATTATCTTTTGAACTAGTGATTCTCATCTGCAGTGAAAGGAATTTCCACTTCTTTTATATTGCATTATCATGAGACACCTAATTCCCCATTGTCCCAGGCAATGTCAGTAGTGTAACCAAGATGGGAGAGACAGGGCACATCTACACAAGATGCTAATTGCGCAGTAGCCTAATAACACTTCACAGTACTGTGCTGAGCAAAACCTGAGCTAATAAGTTACTGCAAAGTAGTATTAGGCTACTGTGCAATAAGTGTCACTGAATAGCCATGTGCTGGTACTACTACGCAGTAGTGTGAGTTACTAAGCATTGATTTAGTACTTGGTTAACCAAATACTAAACTTAATGTGCAGTTACTACAGTGCATTAATGAATGTGTAGACACACCCATAGAGAAGCAGCTCTCGGTGTGAGCTTAAGAAGTAGGTGGAAAAATAAAAGCTGCTGTTGTTGCCATGCTGCCAGCTGTCAGCAATTGCTGCTGCTTCTGTGCCATCATTGCTGCCCCAGCTGCATTGTTACACCCCTGGAAAATAAACAAACATACAGCAAAAAACCTATTCCAGACCAGTATAGCTGTGAGTCTTTAGCTATCTTCAAATGTCTTTTAAAGTTACAAAGCTAATAAAGAAATAACTATACAAGATCCTTTGTGATATGCATCACAGTTACATTTTAGCTCTTTTGTTTACCACTGGTACATTAATGCTGCAAGTGATTATATAACATGAAAGATATATCCCCAAAACTAAACATCTGATCCCTGAAACATGAACAGTCAGAGTGTTTATTGACAGGTATAGTACTGTTAGCTGTGAGGAAAAGATTGATCAAAAACAGAAAGGCTGCCTATACACATGCTCTGAGGTCGGGGAGGAGAGGGGCATTTTAATTAGAGCAGTTCCTGGACAGCCACTCCAATTAAAACAGCTCACTGTCACATGTATGAAGCCCCTGCACACTTAAAAATGGCTTCAGGATGCTTTACTTAAACCTCATTCGAAGAGGTTTAACTAAAGCACCCCCATGAATATTTTAAAATGTGTGGGGGCTTAATGCACATGATGGCGAGGTGATGCTAGAGTGTTCTCATTAAAATATGCATATGTGATCTAATTAGAACATGAATGAGCACGTGTATAGGCAGCCAAGGTCCCATTAGCTTTACTTATATTATGCCCAGTAATAAGCTTTGTACTGGAAATAGGGAGCTGCAGGATTGAGTCAGAAGTTACTCTTACAACATGCTATTTTCAACTGCTATAAGTGCAAAAGTATAAGGATCAGATCCAAAAATGCTACTTCCATTAAAACTGTAGCAGGACACTAAGGTGCCTGCTACTGAGAGAGCACGGAAGACTCCTCAGGTGCTGGTTCCCAAGGCAATGGGAGCCACCTGCCAACGGTCAGCTGGGCAACGGCCCACACCTGCCAGCGGTCAGCTGGCTATAGGAGGCAAGACCTGGCTTGTATGAGGAGGAGCGGAGCCGAGTGGTAGTTGTTGACTGGCATCTAAGACAGTAGGAGTTCCCTACCAACAGGGAAGGATGAGGAAACTCCTGGCCAGAAGAGAGAGAACCTAAATGCCAGAGCAGCATTGGTCACCATGGTAGGAGAGGAAACCCGGTAGGCCTGAGCCTAGTTATAGCTGGAGGCTTATGTTTGCATTGTAGCCCAGGGGCTTGTGTTTATGTTGTTGTTTGTGTTTGCAGTTTGTTTAACAGCGGTGGTTTGGGTGAGGCTATAAGGGGATGGAGGAGGCCTCATAGGGGACTCACGATAGAGTGAGGACCCCAGCCCCAGTGAGGGCATGGAGTTTGGGGGTACAGACCCCAGCTCTGCAGAAGAGCCCCGGTGAGAAGGGTGGCGTATAGAGAAGGCCCGCAAGGCCTAGACACGCCGGACACCCGGAGCAGGAGAACTGTGGCCAAGTGGAGGAGAGGTAGCCTCCCTACAAAAGAAACATATATCATCAAAGTCGTGGCGGGCTAGAATAGGAGGGGGAAAATCTGAAGCTTGGCACAGTAGAGGAGGCGGCAACGGCTAGCATGGCGACCCTGCCGTCCCTCCTGTTACAAAAACATAAGAGAGAAATCCAGAAATCTATGTATGTCTTTGCTGATTTACTAAGAAAAATCAGTATTCAAATATTATCTGAATTTCTGCTTTGTTCACCCTGAAGCAGGTTTCATATTAGTATATCCTGCAAAGTTATAATGACTCACGTTTTTTGTCAAAGAAGACTTATATTTATTATAAAACTTACCTCTAACTTTATTTATTGGCTGCTGCCTATAACTGGGCATGTGATAAAATGCCATTTTCAGATTTAGGATATCTTGTAAAAAAACTCAAGACCTATTGTTGGGACATGACACGAAAATGGAATAAAAATGAAAGTCTGTTCGGTGACAAACATACAAAAAAAATCAGTCTAGTAATTCCCTGTAAATAGGGTGTCAGGGGGGAGGAATCCTGAGGATTCTCAAAGATGACTTTCTACAGAGGAATTCAAACTGAATATGATTTTAGTTTTTTATAAATTTCTAACGGAGAGAAGGTCAAATTTTACCTCTTGCATACATTTAGATGCTGATAATAAGGTATTGAATATTGTCTCTAGTATTTACTAGAGAATACAAACTTATTCCAATTGCAAAATTTCATCATTTTTAATGGAAAAATAATTATTTTCACAGATTTTACCTATAAATTGTTTCACTAAAATCCTATTCTATAATCATTGCAATTTGTATGTATATATCTAAAACACTATGCAAATTGCCACCAAAATGTAAATATTAGCTCTGTTCATTGACTCCAATTCTTCATTTCTCCCTAATAACTCATAATTTTGGAATTTTTTTTTTATCTCATTTCTATTGACTATTACACTCATTTGAGGTGCATATGAGAAGAAATTATACTTCAGACCCAGTTCTGGTCCGGCTGCTACTGGAAGTTAATATCCAGATAGTTAGCTGATCAGGTGTCATTTGTCTGCACACATTTATGACCCTTTGGCACAGCCAATTTCTTGGCACCCAAATAAAGTCAGTTACTATAAGAACCTTGCACAGGTCTTCAGGCCTTATGCATGTAAATCCAACTTCCTCTCTACACAGACACAGTTATAGTTCTTCCCTAGTCTTCTGTGTATCCTTTACCATGTCTTCCTCTGAAGCCACAGGCTAAGTACAGCCAGTCAAAAAGCCATGTGGCACATCACAGCACTTCCCTGCCCCCCACCACAGCTTGCTGCCTGTGCACACTCCCAGGAACAGGGCTAGTGGGGCGCAGGCAGCGGTGCCCCTCTGCAAGACCCATACATGCTACCCAGCTGAGTGGGGGTGCGGTTTGCACGTGGTGGCCAGCACCACTGTTGCTACACCCTGCACTGCTTTCCCTCAGCCCCCATCTACCGCTGGCTGGGTGGGTGGGCACTCCTGCATGGAGCTGGGGTTTGCACATGGTGGCCACCACTGCACTGTCACTGCTGCACCCTGTGCTACATTTCTGTGGCTGGTCGCACGTCCAGCTCCACAGGAAGGCAGTGTGGGGCATGAAGGAAAGTATGGGAAGACACCAAGGGAGATGCTGCTGCTGTGCCCCAGGGTGCAGTCTGTCCCTTCCCACCTACCCACTCATTTCCCCCCCCCCCAGTATTCTTGATCTGTCTCCCCATCCCCTTCCCTTTCCCCTGCACTGCCCCTTCCCCCCACATACACTTACCTGCTGGGGTGTGCCTGTGTTTGTGGGGCTTGGGGGCAGTTGTGGGGGGAGTGAGGGGAACTAGCAAGGCTGTGGGTGGGCCTTTAATTTTCATCATGGATTTTGGGGTTTTTATCAGAGGATCTGCAATTTTTTTTATCAGAGAATCTGTGATTTCTTTATCAGGGAAAACCAGGATCCCTGCCCATCAGTGGTGGCTGGTCAAGAGGGGGTGCTCGGGCACTGGCCCACCAGTTTCAAAACGAGACACAAAACCTGCGTCAGCTAAGTAAATAAATAAAAATTATAGTATGGTTAATTAGAAACAGCATCAGGTGAATTAACTATATAAACAAAAGTAGTAGTAATTTTTTTCTTGCCTATGTCTGCTAGTAACGTAATCAAGGATTATGCTTGTCCATTATGCATACACAACAAAAAGTTCAGTATACGCAGTAAGTACCTTGGGGTGATCCCCTTACTGCCCAAGTGGCGCATGAGCAGTAATAACACCTGAACAGTTTGAACGAATGGCAATCATCATTTGTTTCAGCCAGCAGCAGAGTGCCTGTACTGATGCCTCAGCCTGGATAAAGAGCTGTTACCTAAGAAACCATGGGACACCCCCAACCCTGCCTGGAACGGCAAGGGAAGTGGGAAGGGGAAAGGGCAAGGCCTGATGCTGTCAGTCACCCAAGGCTTGGCTAAGGCTCACTCTCCTTCTGGAGCCTGTGAGGTAAGTGGGGTTTGCAGAGAGCTAGAGGGTTGCAGGGATGGGTGGGAACTGGCTGGGGACTGAGGGAGTAGGGAGGTTTGCAGCCTGCCAGGCACTCCGACTGGGAGCAGGGGCTTGCAGCCAGGGAGCTAGGAGTTTGCAGCTGGGGAACTGCGGGGTTTAGTTTTGATAAACATAAAAAATTACATCATGTTTTATAGATTGCTTTCATAAACAAACAAATTGAAAAAAATAAAATAAAAAAAAACAGTTGAAAATGGATGATACAGTGTGACGCTCCACCTGCCCCACCTGTCTGAGTTCATCAGCCATGCCTAAGTTGCATACCATTGCCAGCTCCCTTGAGTCAGGCATTTGTCCATGTTGGGGGGAGCCCTACACCAGCCTGGGCTCCTCCTAAGCTCTGGTCTGCTTAGCTATGTGGAGTTCTGCACCAACGGTGGCTTCCCTGCTGTATGCCTGGGTTTCTCATCCCTGCCCCCTACAAGTCTCTGGCCCACAGTGGTGAGAGAGGAAGGAGTCCCCTATCCTGGTGTTGGCTGCCCCATGGTGTTGTTAGGGTAGCTTGTCATATTTTATGTTTTAAAGTTGCACCTGTTTACAGAGTGGTGAATTACAGTATTGTTTAAACTTTTGTTTTGAGCCTTATTTAATTGTTGCTTAAGTTCTGTATAGCCTCATTATTATCTGAACTCTTCATTTTCCTTATCAGCTAGCCTTGAGTTGTTTTCACACATCTCAAAGTGCTCATTTATATATTGTATCTTTTCTCTTATACCACTGTGAGAAGTTCTTCTAACGTGACATAGTAATAGTCTTCTTACTAGCTCAAATGAACTGAACTTGGCACTAACTAGCTGAATCAGAGGGATGAAATGATTAGATATGTTAATGAAAGGTGATGAGGGAAACTAATGGACAATACCCAAAGTAAGACATGGAAAAAGACCAAATTAAGAGGTGCACATGTGATGGGTTTGTTAAACAAAGAAATATGCTGACAGGATAAAATACGGACAGTATGCTGACTGCAGAGAGACCAATCCGAAAGCAGAGACATCAGAGGAGTGAAGTTAAAGAAAAGCTTAAAAGGAGACAGCAAGAAATTTAAGTGTGTGTTGTCATAAATTCAGGAAAACATCTGTCTGTGCCAGCCATAAAGATTATCCACTGATGCCACCTACTGCGTTCAGGAAATGATGGGCTATCGTTTCTGCAGGGCAGTGTATTATCTGGATTGTTGAGTGAGATTATTGTTCTGAATGTTTTTCTGTCTCAGAATACAGAAACTGCTAAGATAATATTTGTTGTACTAATAAAGTTAGACTTTGATTTTAGGACACTGAGTTGTCTGTATTCATATTTCACATTCCATTTAAGAGTTAATTGTGCTTTAAAAATCCCTTAGCACTATCTGGTGGATAGTGGTGCTAATAATGTGGGGCTCCTTGCCAGAGCCAGTCCAGCTTGGCAGAAGCAGAGGAGCAATGGCAGAGGCTAGCCTGTCTGTTCTGAGAAGGGGCATTAGTTGGGACCACACAGCATCCTGGGAGGCTGGGGGACTGAGAGGGAACTTTAGTTGGGAAGGGATTGGGACAGAGGTTCGATAGAGCAGTCTAACCTAAACTGATTATATCTGATACTTCATCAGTCTAGATCTATCTTAAACTGGATTCAGCCATTTTGAAACTGGTCTGTGTGCACTGAACTTCTGTTCTGTTACAGGTTTTGATTGATCTCCAAATGCTTATACTGGCTTGCCTGTAGTTTCAGTCCCTAGTCACAGTCTAATGAGCAACTCTGCTATATTGAATAATTTTGTCCAGTGAGATTGCAAGCCTTCAACAGAAACGAATGTTGTTCAGAGAGATGGCTTTCTATATAACTATTTGCTGAAAAGTTAGTAGGGTATTGATATGAACCTGCCAGAAAAAAAGAAGTTGTACCAAAAAAGCATGGCAGTCTGGGAAGTTAACACAATCTCTGAAGAAATGAGGGAGCAAGTTTTAGATCTGAGGTTCTCTTATTGTACCTGTTGTGGTATCTTGTTTCTCTATTATTCTTATTCTGTTTTGCTTCCCTCTTTTCCTCCTAGCTGAAGGGAACAGAAGGCTTCAAGGATAGAACTACATATTGTGCACAGTCACTATTGAGGGACCTTAGTCTCTTACAGTAATTGAAAGGTCTCCAAAAAGCCCATTTAGAAGCAGTTAACATCATGTTCAGAGGTCTCTAAACCAGTTCATGCATTCTCTAATTACTTGTTAACATAAGGCATCTACAAAGGGCCAAGTGATTTCCATATAAATTAATGCCAAAAAGTACTACGTCTGAAGAGAGAGGCAGTTGTAAAGTAATTTTAGAAATTCTGGGAAAATAAAGGTTGGTGTTGTGAAATCTGTAGCCTTGGGCAGACAAACATCTTTCGCATTATAAGCAGCTATTGATTGCCTTCAGTCATCACTGGCAATGCAGCAGTAGACAAAAATCAAAGCAAAACTACTTCCTTGCCCTCCTCCCCCCACATACCTTTGATTCTGTTGTGATCCAGAGCATTGATGACTGTCTGTAGGGAGACTGTTTATAA